AATATTTTTTATTTCAAATAGCTTTAATTCCTAAAGTTAAGTGAAGCAAAGGAAAAGAGAAAAATAGAATAATTTTCAGAAAATTATATTTCCCTTAAACAATGAATAAGAACTCTATTCCCAAGGTCCTGAGTTTGGTCCCCAGTACCAAAAATAAATGCATAAATAAAAATAAAAAAAGAACTCTCTTCCTACTGAAATTACTTACTTTTTTTTTTTTTTTTTTTTTTTTTTTTTTTGTACTGGGAATTGAACTTGTGATTGTGAGGCAGATGGCAGAAATACTGAGCTAAATCCCCGGCCCAACAATTTCTTGATATATAAATACAAAACTTCTATAATGGATTGCTTTCCTAATTCTTTAAGGACTAAGGTCAAACATTTTCCTACTTTTGCAAAATAACTTTTGTTAATCCATCTAGCTAAGTATTCATTTTAAATATTTTCTTAAACCTGTACATCCTTTTTCACTGTGCACATGGCGGTGATTTCGTTTTGATATAACTTCTTTAGTTCATGAACCCATTGATCCAAGATGAGATCATCAAAATCATAAAAAGCCAGTTTCAAGTATATAAAATATAAGCATGTGGGGTCTTTGGATACATTTTACAGTACAAGACTCGCTTTTTAAGGATCTGTTTTTTCCTAAGGATAATTTTGATGCTTTCCAAAGTGGATACTATTTTATTTCAGGTGGGTCATTTAATAGTTTGTTGATGTTTCCAAGGTCCCTAAACAAAGTGTGATGTGTTAACAGTCTTATTAACGACGTTAAAATAGAATTAACAGCTTGCCGATGCCCCCAGAGCACAATAGCTGCTGCCTCCCCTGCCCCTTATAAACTGTGCCCGCTGTCTTCCCTTTGTTTCAGGCCCAATCAGCAAACTCAACTTTTGTGGCAGAGGAGGCAGTTCAAGTGTTCCTGCCCCCGCCGAGGGAGGAGCTAATGTGGAATTACCGGGAGACCAATCAGCGGTGCAGCAAGAATGACCCCAAATGGGGAAGAAGGACTTTGTTGACCCGCGTGGCTCCCTGACCTTCCCTCACTGTTTTTTTCCCTTTGAAGAGTTTTACTCTGGTGTCGTTTACTTTATGATGTTCTTGCTCAAAGCCACAAAAAGTTTTAGAAGTTTTGGATCATTTAAGGTACACGGTAGCACTCAGAGTCGTTTTTTAAAATCTGACACAAACTATTGATAGTTGGTGTTTTTTTTGGAGGGGGGGAGTAGAATTTCCCCAATTGTCTTGAGCCACAGTAGGTTCTAACTGTTCTGGTGTCCCAGAGGGAATCAGATAAGCCACAGATCTGGGAATACTGGTTCCGTTTTGTTGATTTCTGCTTTTAAAAAAATAGACTTCACTGCTGTAGGTCTTTAAGACTTTGTCAGGCAGTAATCATAGTGGGCCAAAAATAAAGATTTTCAGGAGAAGGCTTCTTTTTCCCCTTACTCTTGTTACGGTGGACACACATTTGGCAAATCATCCCATGTCGAAGTGCAGATTCATGGGATAACCTCCGAAATGGGAGATGCTACTTTAGCCTTTGCCACCACCTGCTGATTATTTATGAAGTGCATCACATTTGTAAACTATTTCCCATCCCCTCTGGGTGGTGGTCAGTGGGATACTGTACTATTAAGAATGAAGTAGTTTTCAGTTGTGCAGGAGCTGTCCTTGTTTATATCTTGGCCTTGCTCAGCCTTTGCCTTGCTTTGTTGCTTTTATTTTCTTTTTATGGTGCTGCTATACAGGGTCTTTGAGTATGGTGCTGACACTTGAGGTGGTCAATGCTGGAACAAAGGAAACCCTTTAAGGCAGCATGCGGGATTATGGACTCAAAAAAATACAAACCCAAGGTTCCGCGAAATTACTCAAGTCCACCCAGATATGGGCGATGAGATACAGCTAATGAGCTGTGATTTCAAAATACGATTATTTGTCAAGGGTTATCCTATCATGAAAGAGGGCAGTGCGAGCGCTCTAGGTAAGCCGCGAAGGGAATGTTTTCTTCTACTTTCTGAGCCCTGGAGATGGGTAGTCATTGATTGAACAATGTATGAAACTGGAGCAAACGGGGTGTCATTTGATACTAGCCCCATGCATGGGTATAAATAATAACACTTCCGGTTGGCATCCCTGAGTGTGTGCTGCTTGATGAGGGGCATTTTACCTGGCCGAGGAAGAATGCCTCTGCGGCAGTCCTCCGTCCCTCGTCCCTGCTTGTCATTTTACCCAGGCACACATTGTGGCCCACCCCCATCCCGTGGTCGAGTGTGTCCTCCCATGCCACTGCTGGGCAGCGGGGCTGTCTCATGCCCAAGTGTAACCGACTTTTGTGGGGCGCCACTGAAGGAGCACACCAGGCATGGCGTGGGGGATACGCCTGGGGCCGTGGCACCGTGCTGCCAATTTTGATGCGAGGCATCAGTGCTGTGTCCACCCGATGGGAGTGCCCAGTGCACGTCTGCGTGACTTAGGGACGCTAAGAAAGCCAAAGGGATTAGCAACAGACAAAGAAAGCTTGTCACCTCTGTGCAGAAGCCAGCTGGCATCTCAGGGGCAACCTGAGCTGCGCCATTTTCGTCAAAGCTGTGCTCGCAGAGCTCCTGCTTGGCTTTTGCTAACTCTAGAGCCTGTTGCAGGCTTGGGTAGTGGAGGGAAAAGGTGAGAGTAACCAGGAGCCTGAGGCTGGAACCCATGTCTTTTGTTGCAGGTGACTCAGGGAAGGACAAACCTCAAGTTTGATGAAACTTTGGTAATCAGTACAATTTTCTCTTCAAGGACTTTGTAAACAGCATTCATCCTTCAAAAAATTCTTTCTCTTTGTGATTTATTTTATAAACCTAAAGGAAAAAGAGAAAGTCAGCAGTTCCAGCATTTGCTATAGTGGTGTCCTAATGGTTTCTAGCTTTGGACCACTGACATTTACCAAGACAAATCACTGTGAGATAGGATCCTGCAGAGGCAGCTCTGGGCCCGGCCTCCCTGGGCAGGACTTCTCGGTGCTCTTAGAATTCTGAATTGGCCCCAGCAGCACCCTTTAGGACAACAAAGGATGCTAAGACGGTATCTGACAACTTGACTGTTTCCTCTAGTATTTTAAAATTAGTCAAATGTAGAAATTATTGTTCTCTGATATCTTTGTCATTTCTTGAAAGCCAGTTATGAAATATCACTTTAAAATAATTGCTGGGGATGTAGCTCAGTGGTGCCGTGCCTGCCTGGCAAGTGCAAGGTCCTGAGTTCAATCCAATACTGGAAAAAATAAAATAATCCACATAAATGTGCTTTATTTAATCATAAGGAAGCTTTGGAGAAAGGGTGTTTTATTTTTCAGTAGTTGTTCCATAGGAATATTAAATGATTATTATGATTACTAAAGATACCTTTGCATAGCAACTCTATTTTAATATACCTTTGCAAACATTATTGCATATAATCTTTAAAATAATTCTAAGGAAGATATTATATTTATAGATGATGAAATGATGACTGCATATATTTTCATAGCATGCCACAGAATTGTGCTACCAGAGAATTCTGTTTTTGGAAAAAAAAAACAGCAAATGCTGTGTAAAAATGGCTTTAGAAAACACAGATCTGAGGTTTTAATTCCGCAAGGTATATATAAAAGATGACAAGATAGGAATAAAATCATGTGATAATGTGCAGTCTCTTTTTAAGTGGGCAATTGTGTGAATCTTGGTTTTATGACAACTTAGTTTTCATGTGTCTGTAAAATACTATAATACATTGCATAGTTATGAGAAAACAAAATTATCTCCTCCATATTTTTAAAGAATAAAATATAATCACCTTATAGCAAAAGAATGTTTTCTAAGTAAAGGGTAATCTTGTTAAAATATGGTTTAAAAAAGTCATTAAATCTCAAAATGATATATTTACTCTTTAAAATAATCACACACACACACACACACACAACTTGTTCAAGACTAGGTAGCCATGCTATTTGTTTGGAGTGATTTGTTGTTACCATTGAGAAACGCTTATCAAGTACAAGAAAAAAATGTGATTAGTGTTTCTGGGAATTACAGCGTTGCCAGAGGGGGAAACGGTCCAAAGTGCAAAAGGTTAAAAGTGATTTGTAAAAAATAGGAAAAAAACCTTGTTTAATAACAAGAAAATTAATGTTTCTTAAAAACAATTTAAATCATCTAAGTGATGGTTTTTAATACTTTTCATGATAATACTTTGATGTTATTTACATTAAAATATTTTGGGTGGACTGGGGATTTAGCTCAGTGGTTCCATGGCCTGCCTCACAAATACAGGATCTTGAGTTCAATCCCCGGTACCAAAAAAAAAAAAAATTTTTTTGATTGAGGGGAGCAGAGGGAGATGGGTTAAAATGAGAAAGAAATGAAACAAAACAAAAATATCCTGTTTTCTGGGATCCAAACTTTAATATAGTTATTGGTGGAAAAAAAATGTAAGCTTTCACAAGGTTACCCTAAGAAAAGTCACCCACATGTGGTCCTAAGGGTTTAATAATAATAATAATAATAATAATAATGATAAGACTGTGAGGAAATAATCATTTGATGAACAGAAGTCTAGAATTTCACAGGGGCCACTGTTAGAATCCAGTCAGGTGTCATTTCTGCTGTCCATTGTGATAAACAAGCGTCGGTTTTGTCTTCTGGGAGTTTGGGGAGATGCTGCACGGCCGTGGTTTTCTTTCAACAACTCTAACATCAAAATGGCCAAACTGTTGGTCGGATGCATGTTAGATAAAACAGATGGGATTCTCAGTTCGTGTACCGGTTCAGCCGTTTGATGGAATTTGTGCCACCCTGACCAGTGAGCCCAGATGGCGCTTAAATCTGTCACTCTTTAACGACCCTACTGTTTTTTAAAAATATTTTTATATTTGAGCCCATTGAGTTAATCTGAGAGATTAATCATTTCCAAGCTCTGTCTGGGCAGGGCCTTACGGAGGGTTCTGTGTGAGAGGAGGGTCTTGAGCAGGAGGCACCTAGCGTGCTGGGCTTGGGGACGACCCTGGGGAGCATGGTGGCAGTGGATGAGGGACCAGGATGGGCCTGTGGGAAGGGCCTCAGCGGTGGAGAGAAATCTGATGGTGTCCGGAAAAGTGCTCTTTTGCCCAGCACCCACCCCGCATGGCTGAGTGCCCACGGTGGCGCCTCAGGGTGGCTGTGAGTAATCTGCCCCTTCCTGTGTCTGGTGTCTCCCTGGGGTGAGCCCCAGATGGGGTCACCCAGGTGAGGCTCCCCGAGGTAGTTCTGGGGAGGACCTGGCATCTGTAGCACTAGAGCTCTCGTGGATCTCACAGGCCTTTTCCTCCCTGATGGGCTTTTTTCTTTTTCCTCTTTCTTTCTTAAGTCATTATTTTGAGTCTCCCAGTCTTCCAAAATGCTTCAGTGATTTGGGGCAGGAGGTGCTGGCCCACCCCTCCCTCCAAAATCTCTAACCTTGGCTACGTTTACGGAGTGGCTTGGAATTGCTTTCTCTTCCTGCTGGGATGAAAAAGGGGGAAACGAATGGTTTTTCATTATGTAGACGTGTTTTTTTTTTTTCCTGTTTGTATCCGATGTAGCAGGTGTCAAAATATGGTGCAGCTTTTCAGCACTGATGTGAAATTTTCCACTGCCCCAAAAAACCCACCAGCATTGTACATACGCCCTCACCTGTAGTAACAGAAGTAAAGAGGCCCAGTGCCTTATTGTGCTCCTGGTGTGGGGGATGTCCTGTGGCCGGTTCCCTGGGGCTCCTGTGTATGCCTCCCCTCTCCTGGGGATCTTGTGGAGGGGTGCTGATCTCACCCTGCAGGTGACATGAATCCAAATGTCCCCTGCCCCACCTGAGTGTCTGCACCCGAAGACCTGTTGGAATTCTGCTTCTGGGGGGTTTCCGCTAAATTAGATGACCCTCATATAGACCGGAAGAGGAACAAGAAGCGAGTTGTGGTGCAAAGTTCTTTGGGAAGCGTTAGGGTCTGGCGGTCTCGAGGACAGTGTCTGCCTGCCAGAGCACAGTGGGAGCCGCACCTGTGACTGAAACCTCTCCACAGAAATGCCACGTGTCACCATCCCGTGGGGCTGGGCTCTGAGATGTCCCTGGGAGGGTAGAAGAAAAGCAAGCGGATAATACGTCATTTTCAGCTTCAGTCTGCTGTAGGGACAGCCAGGGTTGCACCTGCACACACGCTCAGAGCCAAGCGTTGGAAGGGCGTCAGGGCGGCAGCTTAAGGAGCGCTGTCTTTGTACAGACGATGAACTTGCGCCAAGAAAGAGGGGAGCAGCGAGGCAGAAGTCTGCCTGGGTACTGGTTTCAGTTTCCTAGGCAGCTTCTTCGTGGTTAAAGAGTAAAATCAAATGCTCTGTCGGGAGGAGGCAACTGCCGGTGGCCACATTAAAAATGGTTTAGATAAAGTCATATCATGAATTTAGTATCTTCCAAAAAACTGATTTCTTTTTTTAGTAGACTAGATATTCCTATAGGCCTAGTAAACATTCTCAGTTTTTTTATTGGGTCAGTTCATTCCACTCTCAAGTCATTTCCTCTAGGAACTAAAATCTTTCTACTATTTCCATTGGCAAATGGAGAACACAAGGACCTATGAGGTGTGATTGAAAAATGTGGTGACTTTAAATTTTTCTAAATTTATAGCCAGGAGGAGCCAGGGATTTAGCTCAGTGGTTCCGCCACCTGCCTTGCAAGTGCAAGGGCCTGAGTTCGATCCCTGGTACCAATCAATCAATCAATAAATAGTCAGGTGTGGCAGGGCACACCTGCAATCTCAGCACTTGTGAGGCTGAGGCAAGAGGATCGTCCTGAGTTCAAGGCCAGCCTGGGATACACAGCAAGACTCTGTCTCAAAAAGAAAAAAAAAATTATTACAGCAAAAGACACGTTGCTATTAATCCCTTTCAAAATACTCTCCCTTGCTTCAAAGGTTCTCATCTCATCTTTCTTGCCACTTTTAAGTAGTTCTTTTTTTTCTGTCATTGAGTTTCTTGGTACATTTTAGGTATAAAGTACAGTTATATTCATTATTGGAATCTTGTACCTTTACATGACAGGTCTTGGTTCTCATTTTTTCCCCTTGTCCCTGCCCTCCCCATTTACAAACACTTCTTTTAAGTAGTTCTAGAAGTCTTTTCCTGGGTATTTTTAGTTGCACTGTCCTGGCTGCTTCAAAGCTCTGAATTGATGAAAAATGCTTATCTTTCGTGGTTACTTTAACTTTGTTGGAGCTGGCGATTTAGCTCAGTTCTTCCACCACCTGCCTCGCAAGCACAAGGACCCAAGTTCAATCCCCGGTACTAAAAAAAAAAAAAACTTTGTTGGAAGAGCTAGAAGTTGCACAATGTCACATCTGGTGAATAAGGTGAATGAGGACACATTATAGTGTTTTTTTGTTTTTGTTTTTTTTGGTGCCGGGGATTGAACTCGGGCCCTTGCGCTTGCAGAACCACTGAGCCAAATCCCCAGCCCTATAGTGTTTGTATTTGACAGAAATCTGTAAAGTTTTGAATTGATTCGGAACCTTAAGGCAGTCACATGAATACTCAAAAGAGGACTTCCAAAACTGCTTTAGAAAGTGGCATGAAAGTGAGGGAGCATATTTTGAGAAGGATTAATGGTCGTATGTCTTTTATTATAAAAAAATTAGTAGACCCTGTATTTTTTACCATCCCGTGTGTGTGTTTGTGTGTGTGTGTGTGTGTGTGTGTGTGTACACATACGTTTGAAGAATTCTGTGGTCATCTGAGAATCAGCTCTTTGCCTATCATTTTTCATTAATGTTTGCCAAGCAATTATGAAAGGATGAAGAACAGAAATAAGTCATCTTTAATGTAATGTTGGCTATTCAAACAAGTTGAATGTGTGTTGAAGAAACAGAAGAAAGAGGAGAACTAAACTTTTGCCTGCCTGTGTCTACCTTCTCGCCCTGGGCGTGAAGATGGCGCAGCAGCCCTGGCCCATTTTCCAGAATACCAGCTGGTGGTAGCCTGGCCATGTCCAAAGTGCTGGGGTCGGGGACAGAAAGGCCATGGTGTGGTTGAATTAGATGTTAATCAGATGAGCAGCTTCTATTGCTTCAGCTTTGAGTGGGAAGTGACACATTAAGGGTTCCAGGATACTGGAACGTGAGTTTTGCCTGCCTGCCTGTCTTCCTTCTTTTCTTCTTCCCTGTCTCCCTCTCCCTCCCTCCCTCCTTACCTCCCTTTTTCAGAAATTTCTCAGGCTCTTTCACAGTACTCCTTTAAGAATCAGTGGTGGTGGGGATTTATAAGCTTTCAAAAAGTTGGGTATCCCCAGGAACCCTGCTTATCCAAATAGGAGGTACTGGGTTAGACAGTTGTTTCAAATCATTGTTTCATTTCCTTCACCTCTGAAAGACTTCTTGATTGACGGAGAGCCTAACTTCAATTGCATGGATATTGGAAAGTTTCTCTTTCGTTCCTCATAAAGATCTCTATTTTCAGCCTGTAAGAGCTGTGACAACGGAGACATAAACAGTGTCCTGCACCCCACACAGTGTGCGTCTCATAACCAGAGACAGAGCTCCTAGAACTGCAAGACATGTTTGGGCCTAGTCAGTCTCTTAGGTTTCCTTAGGAGCGTTATTCTCTCATTTTACTATTTGGCAGGAGGCCTGTTAGAAATGTCTGTGTGTGTAAATGATGCTTACAAAATATTCCCTACCGGAATTATGTGAAATTTCCCCTGGTGGTTTAGTATTTCCTGAAACATAACTTGCAATTTCTAGATACCTACCCTAAAAAACTGGCATCCATCGGGCTAAACTTTAATGGGGTGCAGGAATCTTTGCCCTGCCAAAACCTTCTTCCAACTTTTCAAATAAATAAAAAGCAAGGGTATTGAACATTTTACATTTTGAAAATACCCTCCATTCCTGACTTCCGGAAACCGTAATTTGTTTTAAGTCAGAACACAGCAAGTGGGGACCAAGATGGTGGTGGAGCACTTGCCTTGTGTGCAGGCCCTGGGTTCCATCCCCAGACAAAAATCCCAAGCAAACAAAATCCCCACAGCAACAACCAGGCAAACACTGGTCAACTACAAGAGGAACCCACAGATCTCAGCCAGACCACTGCCCCTTTCTACCATTTAATCTCTCGCCCCTGCCCAGAAAAGAAGTCAGTTTCTGCTCACTGTGCCTGAATATCTTCAGTGTTTTCTCCCTGCTCTTGCTCCCCTTGTTCCGGTCGCCAGTGCTTCACCTTGGGAGCTGGGGGTGTAGTGCATGGGTCACGGGTAGAGCACATGCTTAGTATGCACGAGGCCCTGGGTTCAGTCCCCAGCACCAGGGGGAAAAAATGCCCAGTGTTACCCGCAAGCTAGGCAGGGCAGTTCTCCTTTGGCAGCATGGTTTCCCATAGAACTCTGAAAGTCTCGCGTATCCCTTGTTGGATGAACATTGGTGACATCTCTTGCTCTTTCCCATACTCCAGATGTGCTTAAACTCTTGGGATGTCATGAACACATTTTCCTCCTAAACATCCACAGTTCACTGAGAGATTTCTAGAGTTGAGAATCCTCTCTAGATCACCTAGCATATTTCAGAGCTATAGTAAACATTAAACAGCAACAAAAAGTCCCTTTCTCTCTCTCTCTCTTTCTTTCTTTCTTTCTTTCTCTTTTTAGTACTGAGAATTGCATCCAGAGAGCACTGAGCTATATCTTCACGTCCCAGCCCTGTTTATATTTTGAGACAGATTCTCACTGAGTTGCTGAGATTAGCCTTGAACTCATGATCCTCCTACCTCAGATGCTCATGTAGCTGCTACCACAGGGCTGACTTTTAGCAAAAGTTTGCACCTCCATTTTCTCCACTGTTTGTTTAAGACTCTGTGTGGCAACATTTTATGTTCCCAACTTATAAAGTTGCTCTGGAACAGATATGGGCAGGGGACGCCTCTAGAGGAATAGCCAACACCACACATTCATCTGACAGAGAGATACTGAGCCGTACGACCAGGCAGGACATGGTGGCCGGGAGCCAGGTGGGAGCTGCTAGAGACTCACACCCGAGTGAGAGGTGGCTGGCTGGATTCTATTCCGAAGCAGAAGCAATGCCATTTCCCAGTGGGCTGAATGTTTCTCAGTTGGAAATAAAAGAGGAATCAAAGAAGACCATCTAGGTTTTTGTCCTGGGTGACCGGAA